TAGCTAATAGACAAATGTATTTTCCTTTTTGTAAAAAAATGAAAATATTTTATAAGAGTCCTACACAATATTCTGAAATTAAATGAAGGTATAAAGCTATGGTAAAGTACTGCTGCATGATGCAGTAAATCATCTGTTTTCAACTTCTATAGACTCCACATTGTTAGGCACTAGAGGTAAAAAGCAGTCTCCCAGCTAGAGAGGAAACAGGAGAAGACAGATGGGGGCATCTCATGAAAATCAAAGGGAGACCAGTAGAGTAGAGGAAAGGGACCTCAGGAAGAAAGGTAGAGGAAAAGAGGAAATACTGGGGAAGGGTATTGGCCAAATTATATTCTTATGTTGTATGCATGTGTGAAATATAACAATGAATACCATTATTATGCATAATTATAATGCAGCAATAAAAATATGGAAAAATTAGTGTCCCAGGTAGTGTACACCATGAGTGGATATTTGATGATATTAAGAAATATTGGTAATTAAATTTATATGTGATAATGGTATTATGGTTTTGTTTTTAAAGAATCTTTATCTCTTATAGATGCATATTAAATATTCATGGATAAAATGATGTCCTGTATGGGTTTGTTTTAAAAAATGAAACCAACCAGAGGGAGTAGTGAGAAGTGAGGGGTATAAATGAAGCAACACTGGCCACAAGTTGGCAGCTGTGGAAGCTGGATGGCAGTATGTGGGGCATTATTATACTATTCTCTCACCATTGTAGGTTTCTTAAATCTTCCATAATAAAAAAAAAATAAGTTCTTCTCAGCAAAGGAAACAATTAGTAACATGAGGAGATAGCCTACAGATTGGAAGAAAATCTTTACCACAGGTACCTCTGATAAAGCATTAATTTCTAGGATATATAAAGAACTCAAAAAACTTAACACCAAAAAAACAAATAATCCAATCAATAAATGGGCTAACGAACTGAACAGACACTTCACAGAAGAAGAAATACAATCGATCAACAAATATATGAAAAAATATTCACCATCTCTAGCATTTAGAGAAATGCAAATCAAAACTACTCTAAGATTTCATCTCACTTTTGTCAGAATGGAAATCATCAAGAGTACAGGCAACAATAAATGTTGGTGAGGATGTGGTGAAAAAGTTACACTCATACATTACTGGTAGGACTGCAAATTGGTGCAACCATTATGAAAAACAGTATGGACATTCCTCAGAAATTTGAGAATGGAACCATCTTTGACCCAGCTACAAAACCAAAGGCTGTTGTCTAATATGCAAAAGCTAATTCACAATTAGGCAGGAGGCACTAGGGTAGAATAGCGTTACGTTAGATAGGTAGAGGGAAGTGATGGGAGGGGAGGAGAGGGGATGTGGGAATATGAAAGATAGTAGAATGAAACAGAACTTGTTACTCTATGTATATATGTGACTACATGACCAATATGATTCTGCAACTTGTACACTCAGAAAAATGAGAAATTGTATCCCATCTATGTATATCAAAGTGCATAAATGCATTCTATTGTCATGTATAACTAATGAAAACAAATTAAAAAATTAAGGTAATCTTGCTAATTTCTGTTAAAGATGGAGAAATAAAGCTGAACCCTTAGGTACTTGAAAGATAGTTCTTAAAATATACATGCAATCAAGAATGGCTAAATTATATAGAGTCGGGGCACAGTTTAAATTCTGATAACCTTATTCCATATTTTCAAACAGTGTATCATCACATTGAATCATACTGACAGGAGCAGCTTCCGCCAAGCAGCAAGTCATGTTTGTCAATTACATACAAGACTGAGGTCTGGGAGCTTCACACTGATTATCTCATTGTTATGTCTCTACACGATACATAAGTAAACTAAGACTAATTAAGTTGACTATTGTCCTAGTAAGTAGAGGGCTATGGTTTAAAAACAGAGAGTATGACTATTCCATTCACTCATTTAACAAATATTTAGTGAGAGTCTACCATGTTCTAAGCACTGGGGTAGCAAATTACAGAGAATAGAAGAAGGGACATTCTTACTAGCGTGAGCCTCTGTTCCAATGGGAGAAAATGGACAAAGCCAGGAAGATATATAATATATAATAAATATATTCCAGGAAGAGTAATAAGAGCTGTGAAGGAAAATAAAGCAAAGAGGATAGGGAGTAAGAAGTGGTTAGAAAGATCTGAATAACATGGTGACATTTTAATACGCAGGAGGTGATGTACGGAAGTTTGAGCAACAGAAAGATCAAGGGCAAAAGCCCTGTGGCAGGGGCACACCTGATGGTTCAAGTATCAGGACAGAGGACTCTGTGGCTGGGGCCAAGAGCATAGACAAGGGGGATAGCAGTAGAGACCAGGCCTGGAAGGCCAGAGGATATGATGCTTCCAAGACCACATGAGGATTTACCAAAAGATCCTGCTGGAAGCCATATTGATTACAGGCTTCAAGAGTTAGAGCACAAGTCTGGACCATTAAAAAGCAATTCTAAGACTTGGGGGAATGATGCTGGCTTAGACCAGGGCTGTGCTTGAGAGGATATCAGATTTGGAAAATATTTTAAGGTAGAGCGGATGGGATTTTCCTTAACAGCTTATATTCTGAAACATTATGGTACTCAAAACATCTCTTTGCATTTATAATTAAAATCTAAATAAAGATGTTCTCTTTTTCTGTAAGATGAATCAAGGCACACTGTATCTGCTGGAGGACCCCTCTGCCTGATGGGGAGCCTCAGTCTGGGCAGACCCTAGTGGTGGGAAGTGTACCAGACTTAGGTCAGGATGCAGTTTAACACTGAATGTTGCATTTCAGAAAACCCCCAAGTTTTGAGGAATCTGGGACCCTTGACCATCTTACTCAGACATGTGGCTCACGTTTAATCACCATCACTCTCCACTCTTGAGCTTAATACACATCATTCAATGCCTCAGAGCCTCAGTTTCCTCATCTCTAAATGGGCATGATAATCTATTTGCTGGGCTGTTCTGACACTGTCAAGGTACTAGTCATAGACTTGCTTTATAAACTGTGAAACAGCACTCTGGGGCTTACAGTCCTTGGGCCCTGGCCTCCTGGGATCACCCTTCTTCCTGGGTGCTGGAAGATGAGGAGGAGGAGGAGGAGAGGAGAAGGAGGATGGGCCATGCCACCAATGGCAGGGGCCTGGCCTTTACAGCATACCCCTTCATGTCCAGAACTGTCAAGGCTCTGGCACTGTGAGAAGACCCGCCCCCCAGGTGAGGAGTTTTGAGCATTCTGAGGAGGAAGAGACTTGGGTGGGGCTGGCTCTGGGACATGAGAGGGCTCTAGACTAGGGAGGAAGTGGGAGGCAGCACTGTCTTCTTTATTAGCTGTGATGCTTAGGGCCCACAAGACTTTCTGTAGCACACAAAAGAGTTTTCAAAGTTTCTAAAATTATATGGAGAAAAAAGGAATATAATCCATTGTGTTACCAGTGCAGTCATAAAACATAATTTATTCTAATTGGTTTATTTATTCTTTCTTGTGGGTGAGGAGGCCCTCCAAAGCAAAAGGGCCTAAAGCCCAGGAAAACCGCCATGCAGGACTGGAGGGAGACAGTGAAGCAGTGCTTAGACAACAGCATCTACACCATTTGTGGCTGAATTCTCTCAGCTAATTCAGTTTATTTATTTGAATTTGCTTGATATGGGACTTTCCCTCCATTAATCCAGAGACATTTCCCTTGGATAAGAGCCACTTCATTTCAAGCAATGAGAAAGGAGTTGTGGCTTGGTTGACTACATGCTTATCATCATCATTATTGTCCTCTATCTTTTTATTTTTATACAGTCTCATTCCACACAGCCTGACCAGGACCACTCCTACTGCTTGCCATGGGTTGTGATAAGTAAACATTTTATCTTACAGAATTTAAACTCCCAGTTTGAGAATTAACATAGTACATCTATATGTGTGTGATGGTTAGTGGGTTGGGTAATTTTGTTTACCCTAATATGTTTACTAAGAAGTTTTTGGAAAATTACCTGAAATTGAACTAATATGACTGCTATACTTTGGATCTGAAGTGCCCTGAAAGACCCATATGCTAATGGCTTGGTCAATAGCCTGTGGCACTACTGGGAAGTGGTAGCACCTTTAGGAGGTGGGGCCTAGTGGAAGGAAGTTAGGTCATTGGGGGCATGCCCTTTGGGAAACAGGGATCTCAGTTCTTTTTTCTCTCTTTGCTTTCCAGTGCCAGGAGCTCTACTGCCACATGCTCCTGTGATCACATACTGTGCTCCCACAGGCCCAAAGGCAGAGAGGTCAGTCATCCATGAACTGAAACTTAGAAATCATGAAGCAAAATAAACCTTTCCTCCTTTATTTATCTCAGGTATTTTGCCAAAGAAACCCATCTAAGAAACTCAGCTTTGGAGTTGCCTCTTTCTCTGAGAACTTCAGTCCACCTCAGAACCTGCCCCTGATTTGACTTCTCTGCTCCTGGCAGAACTTGAAGCCAGACATGGCATTTCGGTCCTTCTCTGACTTCTCTCACTTTCCATGACTCCAGTGTTTCTGTTTCACCACTTCTGACATTTTGGGGCAGACCATTCTTTGTTGTAAGAGATGGTCCTTGCACCATAGGATATTTGGCAGCATCTCTGGTCTCTAGCCACTAGATGCTATTAGCACTACGTGTCCCCGGATAATCATAATCAGAAATGTCCCCAGACATTGTCAAAAGTTCCCTTGAGGAGTTGGTGGGAGGGAGAATCAAAACTGTCCCCAGTTAGCCACTGTTCTAACTCATGGGGATCCCAAGACTCTGAGAATACCAGAGTGGTCACCACTGGACATGATTTTCAAAGAAATCTTAGACCCATATGACTCAAGTTGATGCTCTCAACCCTTATTATATGTTAGAATCACTTGGGATATTGACACAGAACCAAAGGGACAAACTTCCCAGGATATTTGATTTGTAGATAGGATAGACAACCTCTGAACCAGTATGTTTGTCAGTTTTAATACTTACATAAATAAAAAGAGAAACCCAACAACCACCCAATCATTTTATTTTAAATTGGGAATATCCAGGTAGCTTCAGAGCAAGAAAAAATTTTTTTTCACATGTCCATAGGTTGTAGAACACAGGCCATCAGAGACATTTTCCATTTGCCTTCTGTTGTTCTGCTAGCATCACCAAGTAGTTGGGAAGCTGGATGCCTCTGGAATTCTGGGCTTTTGACATTTGGACTGAAGGTGCATTCCAGTTCTCTTAGTGTTGTAACTCACAGAGATGCTCTGGTTGAAAGTACCATCAGTTAGGGAACTTCACAGGGAAGAGGTAGAGGAAGACAAAATTCCCTGAATGCCATGTGTGGGGCTGGCAGGGAAGGAAGAGCAAGACTTAGGGGGTTTATGAAGGGAGGCCTTCTGATAATGCTTTTAGCAGATGAAAGCTGTTCAGACTGCTACCTCTTTCCTTCACTTGTGCATCAGCAACACTGGGAACAAAACCAGACAAAGTGGGATCTTGAGATCTCATGCCCTAAGATTCAGGAGTAGTTTAGCCATAAGATACATATATTCTGAAAGCTGCGGATCCCATTTCTGCCCAGTCAGGAAAAATTGGCAAGGATTCTCAACCAGTCATCCATCTTCTGAAAGGTGAGGAGATACATTAGACAATGTTCACCTTTCACAAAATCTTGGACAACTCAGTCAACTTCCCTGAGATTTTCTCTATCTGAAAAGTGGGCATCATGGTATCTACCTCAGGCAGTCATTATTAGAATAAAACTAGATCATGTGTATGAAAACGTTTTGTGAACTGTAAAGCCCAAGGAGGCAAGGTTATCTTTCCAGGGGCTTTCCACCTTGAACAGTCTGCTGGACCAGGAGCAGTGTGCTTTCTCAGGATTGGCTTCTGGAGCATGTGCGGTGTAATAGATGTGTGCAGCCGTTGACTTAACTTGCCAAGCGTCTGTCCTCAAGTGGGCAATTAGGGAAATACATTTGCACTAAAAATGTAGAGCGATGTATTTTTCATGACTAAGCTTAGAATTGTATTTTAGGCTATTATATAGAAAAGACCAGGAAATTAATTGGTGCCCTCTAAAATGCAGAAGAGCAAGAGATTAATCTGATAAATGGTTTCCATTTAAAAAATTCCATTTGGTTTCCCAAATTTATCTTGTCTCCTGAGGTTTCTAAATGCCACAATGCCCTTCCCCTGTGCTTACTATGGGATTCTACTGCTTCTAACATCCCTAGATTTGGAGAATATTAGTATTTATGCAAAGATAGTAGTACAACTTAACTAGAAAACTAAGCCTTTAACTCTCTAGTTCATGCATATTAACTGAAACCACTTTTGTCTTTCAGTGTAAGTTTTGGTTGATACTCAGAATGTAATATTTGTAGATATTGAAGGTGAGGCTTTTGGTGACGCCATTTCATATAAGTAACACAGCTGAAACCATCCAAGTCAGTCCATTGTCAAGGTTCCGAGTTATTAGTGCTCACCTCGTAATAAGGAGTCCCCTCAAGGACAGAGTAAACAGGCAGAGAGAAGACTGTTTCAGGTGGAAGTCAGTGCTATTCTGGGGAGCGGGGTGACTGGTAGAGAAGAAATCAGTGTTTCCAAACCTTCACTCAGATGTCTTTGCGATCATATGGCTAGCAGAGAAAATTGGGTGGATTTCACCCCAGTTTTAAAAAACCACACACACTTGGATGCCATTTTTCCTAAAGAACACACCAAACCAACTGCAAATCCGGAACCAAGCATGCCGTTACATTATAACACTAAGTTCATATTTCTCTTGTTTGTCCTCAGATTTTTTTGCCTTGAAGTCTGGGTCAGGATCTGGGTGGTGGATTTCAATGAGAAGAAAGTAGAGGAGACCTCCAATGACAGAACCAATCAGAGGGCCCACTACAGGAATCCACCAGAAGTTATTTCCAGCTCTGAAATCAAACAAGAAATGAGTGACATATTCTCAGCCTTCCTCTGATATTACCACCTAGTTATTCTCTAATCAGCTAGTGTTTCTCTTGCTCACAGATCTCTTTTAACTCAGCAAAAGTTCTTAAGAGTATTTACTGAGCTGGGGCTGGGGCTCAGCAGTAGCGTACTTGCCTGGCATGTGTGAGGCACTGGGTTTGATTCTCAGCACTGCATATAAATACATAAAATAAAGGTCTATCTATAACTAAAATAAGATAAAGAGTATTCACTGTAGCATGGAAACCATCATCCTATATTTCCCAGTACACCTGATTTTAGGCCATCTGGGAAAGTTCAGGTCAATTATTCAAGAATGTCCTTTCCCTGACCCTGGAATAATTAAGTCTGGGAATTATGAATGGAAAGGGAATGCTCAGAATGTGGAGATTCCTGGGTAGCACTAGTCCATGACAGCAATCAAAATAAATAATAAATGAATGAATATTTCAGAAGTCTAAGGTAGGGTATGGTCATGCATGCCTGAAACCTTAGCTACTCAGGAGGCTGAGGCAGGAAGATTACAAGTTTGAGGCCAGTCTCAGCAATTTAGGAAGACACTCTTTTTCAAAAAACAACAATAAAATGAAAAGGGTTGGGATATAACTCAGTAGTAAAGTGCCCCTGGGATCAATTCCCAGAACCAAAAAATAATTTAAAGCCTATTTGTGAATTACCTATTGAATACAATTTAAATCAGTGCTATTTTTTAATATTATAGTTCAGAGGTATGCTTTGACAGGTTTTTGTGCCATTACTCTCCTTTCCATCTAGAAATCCTCAGTATGCCTTGTGAAGTATGTACTTAGTAAAGGATGGGGAAAAGGTGGCCTTGAGAATTGTCATTACCTTTTTTGGAGAGAGAAAATCCATTTAAATGGCTCCAAAGAAAAGACCAAAAATGCTCAGAAGAAAAAAAATAGTGGTATACTGTTAAGGACATATACATTTAAGATAAGACCATTCATTGTTTTCAAGCAAGAAAAATGATAAATATAAAAAATCAGAATAATGCCATGGAAGTGGCCAGGGAGCCAAAGGAGATTTCACCATGTTCTGGGTGGATCCCAACATCCTGATTTGAAATAATGGAGAGAATTTTGAATCTAAGATTAATAATTCCTATTTCCTAAATTTGGAGCTAAGAGGATTCATGGCTTTTCTTTTCATTTTTATATGATGCCCCATATGACTTTTTGTTATAGCAAACCTTGATTAGAAAAAATTAAGGAAATAAGTAGAAAACATGAGTCCCATCCTAGACTCCAGATCTCATTCTAACCTCAGGACAGTCCAGAAAATCTTTGGGCAAGTCACTCCTCTGTCAACTCTGACGCCTTCATCTGCACACTGCCTTCCACCTGAAGCATCCAGGTTCAGTCAAACATCTTAATCACCAATGCAGGCTTGGGAAGAGCACGAAGACTGAGTAGGGCAGCCACCAGATGTCACTCTTGCTGCGTGGGAGAGAGGATGCTGCCCTGCCCACTCTCAAGACGCCCTTTCCCACGCTCTCAAATCTGGATAGATTTTTGTATGAGAGGTGTGGGGGGTGGCTGCTTCTCCCATTTGGCTTTAAAGAAGTGGAAGCCTTCTCTGGAGGTCAGCATGTGAAGGGAGAGTAAGCTGCATGAGTCGGTGCATCATTTCCTATGTAGTGAATCTTTCCCTTTCATTTAGCAGACTAAGATCCAGGTATCTGCCAGGGTACAAATCCTATCACTCGCTGGACTCTCTTCCTTCTCTCAGGCTGGACACATTGTGCCAGGGGTACAAATCATAAATGGATGAGCTCAGATGTGATTTCTTTACCAGCCCTGTCTTATATACACTCAGGGAAGAGATTATTTGTACACTATGATTTGGTGGCTGCCAGGAACATGTCTGTGTTAACTGACTAAAGGAGCAACTTTAGAGACTCATTGCTTTGGGTAAAACTGTTTTTAAAAATTAATAACAGTCAACAGATCCTTCACCCATTAAGTCATTAACATCCTGATTTGAAATAATGGAGTGAACTTTGATGGAAAACATTCCTACGGTTAGAGTAGGAGTCAGCCAGGGTCTGCTGGCTCTTGCCCTTGTCTGTTCCTCTGGCTCCCACTCCCCTGCCTGTCCTCCACTGCTTGCCATGCAGGACAATTGAGAACCTGAGAGCCTGAGCACAAGGCAGTCCTGCCTGTATCTGAGACCATGGAGGTAGACCAGGCTAGAATATCTACTAGGGTGCTTACCTGATAGAGGACCCTGAAAGGATGGGACATGTTGGGGGACATGTGGGAAGCCTATAGTCCCTCAAAGTTTTGGGGGAAACTTTTTTGGTTGAAGATCATCAGCCATTCCAGATGTTTCCTAACAGATTTCTACTCCTGTAGTCTCCGTTTTCAACTCATACAGTAATGCCAGGTTAATTTTGCTAAACTGACATTCTAAGCATATCAAGCATCTGCCTTAAATACTTTGCTGCTCCCTATAACCTACAGAATAGAAAAATTCAAAATTATTATTCAGGGAGTCCATATCCTCTATGATCTTATGATTTCCAACCTTTTTTATGTATCCTTTTTATGCATCCTTCCTTCTATTCCAGGTTGCTTGTTATTTTAACATGCTGTGGTTAAATACAGGGTCCTTTCCACCTGAGATATCCTCTTTGTTGCTTGTATAAATGTGCTCAAGTAGTGCAAAATGCTCCCATTTCCCCACCCCCATAATTCCTAAATTTGGAGTTATAAACCACCTCTCAACTCCTGGAATCAATCAGTCAGATCTCCTTAATGGCACTTGACAGCTTAACCTTGTATAAGAGCCTTACGTTATAACCTCTTACATAGAATATAAATAAATTGGTGAAGGACAGCGACTGGGTCTTATCATCTTAGCACAGGGCCTTGTAAGAGATCAGGTAGCTGAGCAAATGAATAAACAATGCACATGGGTTAAAGATGCCGATGGTAACGAGAAACACAGGGCTCAGGGTCTCCCACAGACCTGGGTTCTCCCAATGTACTTAACAAGGCAAAGTGAGACTGGGAAAGATCTCTGTTTTGAAACAGTCATGATTCTTAGTACTTTGAATGAATCACTACGGAGGGTTGAAAAGGGAAGGAGAGGTATGTGATCTCTGGGATTAAGTTTCTGAAAGTAGGGTTAAAAAAAACTCATGAACAAATTCTGGGCTCTGGAAACCTTTAGGACACATGCTTGTTTGCTCCATTGGAAGAGCAAACAAGAGATCCTTCCTAGTTGGGGATGTTTTCATTTTCTAGAACAGACTTTTTCAATCACAGCACTATTAACATTGTGAGCTGAATAATTCTTTGTTATGGGGTCTGTCCCGTGTATTGTAGGATGCTTAGTAACATCCCTGGCCTTTAGCCACCAGTTATATGTGCCTATCCCACTCTCCACCCCCAGGTGTGACAACTAAAAATATCTCCAGTCATTGTCAAATGTTCCTGGGGTAAAACTACCTACCTCAAGTTGAAAACTATTGTTCTAGAAAATTCATTGCATTGTAAATTTCTTGAGGATAGGGGATAGTGCTCGATTCTCTTCATATCTTTCAACCCCTAAAAGACCTCTGGTACACAGCACTTACTCATCCAGGCACTGTGGATATAGCAGGAAGAGAGCTGATAAAATCTCCAGGATATTTATACTCTGAAAGCTCTTAACAGTATCTGTGGTAGTGATCTGAATAGGATCAGTTGTTTTACAGCTTGTTTTTCACACCTGTGAAAGGCAACTCAAACTCTCATTTAAATAAAGTTATGTCTAGCATCTGACTGGATGTACAGGTCAGCATTTAGAAACACTCAAGTCCTTTGTCCCCACAGTAAACATTACAGTGGGATTTGCTCACACATGTTTTATCTACTCCCCTCACTCCTTGTTAGAGCCCTGTTTCCTGGTGAGTCAAAGTGAGTTCCTTGCCCATACACAGTTGTCATAGTGGAAGGGATGGGCCTCTGTGACTTCATGAGGAGAAAGTGGGAAGGAGTTCATGGGCAAAGTTTGTCCTAGGAGACTGGCACTTTCTGGTACATTCTGAAGCAGAAAGCATGGGGTCTTGCTGTGTCTGGGGCACAGACTCTGTAAGTCCATTCTGTCAGGAATTTCTTATTCTTGTTTTAAGACCCAACTCAGCCCTTGCTTCATGGGTCATGTTTTTCCCTACGTCTTTGGAAGAGTTGATGGCTCCCTTCTCTGTGTTCCCTCTGCACTTTCAGGGAGTGCCAAAGCATTGACATTGTTCAGTGCAAGTGCCTTTTACTGATTTCAAAATTTCCTTGCCTAGTACAATAACTGCAGCATAGACAGGGTCCAAAAGGATCTGCTGAATGAATGACTCACAATAAGGAGCCCATTGGTAGCATGAGAAGATGTAAAATCTAGTCTCAACTTCGCTACAAAGTTATATGGACAAGTTATACTACAAAAACGTTCACATAAAGCTATAGACAAATTTAGGGAATATTATTATTATATGGGACAGGCCTATCTGTATTGAATTTACCTAGACCCTGCCTCTCTCTCTGCCTACCTCCCCCTCTCTCTTTCACATACGTACAGACACAAGGCCACAAGACACCAGTGCAGTGCCCCTGTTTATGACCGGAGCATGTACTTCACCTCTGCTCTCTGATCTGCACACCTCCGGATCTCCACGTCACAGCCTAGCCCTCCCCATGAGGCACTGCACTCATCCTTTTCTCTCTTCCCCAACCTTGTTACTTACGTGAAGACTTCAAACCCCCATCCTGCCAAAGCAGTGAAAAGTCTGGGACTCAGGTCTCGAGCTGGATTCATGGCACAGCCACTGTTCAGTCCCAAAGAAGAAGAAATGACAATGATAAGGAGTCCAATGACAATGGGCTCTAGGCCTTTAGGAACCCCGAAGTTTCTGGAGTCAAAAATGGCGAAGACAATCAAGAGGAGGAACATGGTGGCCACCACCTGGAGAGGGAGAAAATATGCAGGAGTTTTAACCTGTATTTTGCACACTGGTTCACTCCTTCTCACCAAAAATAAACTAAGTAATAAGTAACACACACTGGGTGAGCATACGGGTTTTCTTTCCACAGCAATCTTAAATGTAGATGGCAATATAATTATTCTTTATAGAGGAGTTACCTGCGCCAGAGCGCACACTTGGTAAGCAGCAGCAGGTTTGGACCCAGAGTGTCCAGCCCTAGAGAGTTAGCTACACTATCCTGGTAATCTGTCAGCTGAAAGGAAAAGCCAGCTACAGTCTGGAAAAAAAAGAGTGAAGAGGTTGTTCAAACTGGTGAGAAAAACAGTGCAAAGCAGCAATAGGTGAATGGGCAAAGAAAACGGACAGAAAAAATCATGAAATAAAAATTGAATTAGGTAACAAATGGGAAAATATGATTTGTAATAAAAGAAATGCAGACAATAGCAAATGTTTATGAAAGAAGACTGGTTCTTTCAGGGTTTTCTAGTGGAACTAAACACACATGATGCTTTTGAAAGGGAATTTAGCAATAACTTAACAACATTCATTTAAAAACTATAAATTTATTCATATGATTTAATGTTATTGAATATTTGAGAATTATACCATAGAAATAATCTAAAACATGGAAAAGTTATAGAACACATATTTACTTAAGCATTATTTATAGTATTAAAAACTGTAAGCCACCTAAGAACATATCTCTAAGGAAAGAGCTAACTCCACTTCATGGTCTACTATAAAAGTCACTAAAAACTGTAAACGTGAACACTATGTAGTCACTCTTAAAATGCTTATGACATTAAGTGAAAAAATAGAATTATATGTAGTATTTTATATTTAAAAGCCCACCTAAAAGAATAACCATAAGAGACCATACAAAATGACAACAGATATTCTGCAGTTGTAGGTTATAGCTGGTGTTTCATCTTCTCTGTTTTCTAAATCTTCTAAACTATTATTTTGCTTTAACATCAAACCCATATATATTACTTACTGAACATTAATATACTTTATATGAAGAACAGCTGGCACATTTTGAAATGAATGGCACATGTACTTTACCCATGGTACTTCACAGCTTTACTTATTAAAACTTCGTCATAACACTGTAAGATAATTCTATTATTATTCCCAGTTTATAGATGAGAAAACTTGGGTAGAGAGAGCTTAAGACACATGCTCAAGGGTACGAAGCTGCAAAAAAAACAAAGAATCAGAATGGGAAACCAGTAACTGATTTTAGAGTTTCAATTCTTCGCCATTGTTATAGTTTGGATGTGAAGTGTTCTCCAAAAGCTCACAGGTGAGGCAATGTAAGAAGGTTCAGAGGAGAAATGATTGGGTTGTGAGAGTCTTAAGCCAATCAGTGAATTAATCCCATGATAGGGATTAACTGAGTGGTAATTGACATGGCAGGGTGTGGCTGGAGGAGGTGGGCACTGGGGGCATGGCTTTGGAGTACATATTTGTATCTGGCAAGTGGAGAACTCTCTTTCTGATTTCTGATCACCATGTTAACTGCTTCCTTCTGTCACACTCTTCCGCCATGATGTCTTGCCTCACCTTGAGCCCCAAGGAATGGAGCTGGCCTTCTATGGACTAAGACCTCTGAAGCCATGAGCCCTCAAATAAATTTTTCTTACTAAAATTGTTCTGGTCAGATCTTTTAGTCACAACAGCAAAAAAGCTGACTAAAACAACTATTTAATCAGCTTTCCAAAATAATAATATTAAAATAATTTATATTCACAGAGATACATCTCCTAAGAGTAGCCTCCTCTAGAAAGCCCTTCCTGGCTCTGGAGAAGAGTAGAAGCTCCTGCTCCTGAGATTCTGCTGCATTCTTACTTTACTTCCACTACTACCCTAATCACCTTGCAATCACCCTGTTTATTTGTCAGATTGAGCATCTTGCCTTGAGCTCCTTTAAGAAGGAATGCTTGGAGCTATACCTGCCTAAACAGGAGCCCAATAAATATTTATTGGCTAAATGAATGATTATTAAATAAATTGTGAAAAATACTTGAATAGTATTTAGAGATAACTATAATATTGAGATAAGGTGGCCCAGATATACGGTAAAGGTGGTCAACAGTTCTGCTGGGTGTTAGCTGACTGACAACTGGCCTTCTCCTGAACTCCTACTAAAGCCAAAGGAAGACAGAGAAACTTCAGGGATTGCTAATGGTTAGAGTACTAGGTTTTTTTACTTTGTCCTATATAATAATTGGCTTAAAAATCATGATTCATAGAGGAACTGGCAACACAGTCTGAAACAAGGACACAGAGAAGAAAGGTTAGGTGACAGTATATGAATAAACGTCAGTCAAGACATGATAACCATCAGTGAGGTTGGACCTCCACTCACCAGATACCACGCAATTTCCTTGTTAACAAACTCTTGGTGAAATATCTTAAGGAAAAGAATTGGGAGAAGATGTGAAATTCTAGAAGATTCCATCAAGAAAGCAAAAGAGAGAAGAAAGCAGAGAGGGAGGGAAAGAGGATTGGCCAAGGGTAGCAAAATGACTATTTGTTGACTGCCCAATATGTGCCAGGGATTTACTCTGTGATGCATCAGTCAGGTATTGTTGCTGCTCCTTATTGGAAGATAGGAATTGAGATGTCAGAAGTCTGATGCCAGAGAGTTAAGGGATCTCCGCCATCTTACCTTCAGTGAGCTCTTCCTTCTCCCTCCATTCTTCTCTCTTCATACTTTTTTCTGTGTTGCTGTCCTAAATTTATGAAAGAACTGCTCTCCTGACCATTTCCTTCAGATGGCTCCAATTTTCTCTAGTTGGAAAACTCCTATTTCCAAGCAGCTAACCATTCTCAGGGCTGGAAAGGATCTCAAAGGTGATGTATCCTACACTGTCCCCCATCCAGAGGCTTAATCTCCTGATTATTAATCCCTCTCATTTAGTCTCCACTCTAGCATCTAGAGGCTACCAGATGTGCCTCCAGCATCTCCAGTGGTTGTTGTCCTTGAGAAACAGAGTTTGTATTTAGCTCAGGTGAAATTTCTGACAAGTTTTCCTCTTATGAATGTGACTTTGTTTCACCATAATTTCATTAATTTATGAACTCACCCATTCGTTAATAAATAATTTTTGAAGCTCAGCGATAGAGCACTTGCTTAACATGTGTGAGGCCCAGGGTTCCATCCATAGCATTGCCAAAAAGGAAAAAAGGAGCACCTATTACATACCAGGCAATGTGCTCCCACCAAATCTCCTTGGTAGTAGGTGACTATACACATCAGAATAATCTTTTTTTTTTTCCTGCTTGACAGCCCTTCAAGTCTTTGAAAGGTACTATCATGTCCCATCACATCCATCCCTCTCCCACTCAAACCCACATACACATGTCCCTGTTTTCCACTCATTGCTTGTGTGCTATCATTATCTTTTTGTTTCCTCTTCTAGAATTATGGCACTTGGAGAAGAGTCTAATACTCTCAGTGTAGAGTAAGGTCAGACCCTTATTACTTCATTTGTGTGTCTATTATTGCAGCTTACACACTCCTTTTTCTGGCAACCACCTCTCTTTCTCACTGAAACTTTTCCTATTGTTCTAGGTCTTTTAGACTTTCTGCTCCAGATGACTAATGTGATCCCTATGGTCCAGTTCTCTATGTAATTGTATTTTATTTTACATTGTGCTCTTGTTCTTATGTGATCATTTTGTTCTTCAGCTAGATTCTAAATTCCTGGGCAGATACTGTTTCCAATGTCTTTTCCTCATATTTATTATTTTTATCCTTTGAAATAGCCTGATGAGGGCTAATATTTATCCCCATTTTACCAGTGAAAAACTTGGAACTCAAAAAGTTTAGTAATTTCCTGAAGCCACCCAGGGAGATAGGGACAGAAATCTTATCTCAATTCAAGTACTGACTCTGAATCTTAAATCTTTACAACTCACATTATCAGTCCTTCAAGCTCCAGACATAGGACTGAGCACATAACGAGTGCTCAATAAACACTCATTGCTGTTTGGTTTGTTGATCAAAGTAGAAAAGAAAAGAATGAGAACAAGAGGACACAGTTTTTCATCCATCCATGGAATAGAGGTGGCCATAGTTGGTAAACTGGAAGACCCTTTTATACACATGCTCACTCTGGTCTGCCCCACTGTACAAATACTCCCTTTCTCCTTCCCTGTCCAAGATGACCAGCAGCCTTCTTGGGACACAGCCAGGGAGGAAGAGTCTCTTAGGCTGACCATGTTGGTTCCACACAAACCAAACAAGATAGTGGTGTTATTGGCTACACAACAAATTCTCTGGTGCAAGCAGTCAGCAAAATTGTCAATAAGGCAGAGAACATTTATCTATCTGAGAGTTTGGATAAATCTAGACTTATGGTGAAATAGAGAGGATAAATTTTGCCCAGGCTCATGGATTGCACTGCATAGTCCTTGCATTGAGATAAACATGTCTTCTTTTGTAACCTCCATACTTGGACCATGAACACAACAGAGACAACAATCATAAAGTGAACCACATTTGCCTCTATAGGGGTTGAAATGTCCAGTCATCCATGTTTTTCTGGACATCAACTTAAGTGAAACAAGTGTGTACATTAAAGGCAACAGAATACTTTTTTAGTGGTATCAACTTCTGCTAGGGCAAAACAATTAAGAAAGCTTGGGTTGTGCCCAGTGGCCTCTGACTTTAGAAATACAATCCTCCCTTTATGTTAGGCCCATAATGCTCCAACACATTTCCCTTTTTAGTTCATGTCTTTTCACCAAAGTTAGTCTTTGTTGAATCTACACTTACTTGGTCTGCAAATGCATTCCCCAGTGATAGATATGGAGCTGGGTATGTTGCAAAAATTTGCGCTGTTGCATTTTCTCCCACGATGAGCAATTTTCCACCAGCAAAGGACATAAGTCCATCTATGGAAGACAGAGCTCTGGCACATTAGTGTTCTCTAGGAGGGGTCAAGGGGAGCCTATGCCAGGCCTCGTGCTAAACAACAGCAGTCAAACACTCAGGAATCACCTATTCTCTTGACTTCACAGTATGTTAGTCTTAGAGATGCCTGGGGGGAATCCCAGGATGGTGGTCAAAGGTAGAAAGCCCTAGGTTGCGCTGATGGTCTACTCCAAAGTTGACCCAAATCCTTGGTCAGCGGGGTCCTGGAAACCAATACTCTTTGGGGGAAAATTCTTAGAATTTTCAAAATCAACCTAAAGCCAAAGTGGGGTTTGAACTTGCTCTAGGCAGAATTCTTAGTTCTTAGAGATATTCTCAGTAGTGCACTCCCGAACCTGAAGGTGTCGCATTGTAGTGAAGAGATGGGGGATGGCCATTGGAGCCTTAGAACAAGGGGGATGGCAGCCACTGACACAGCCAGCACTGACCCCAGGCCTCTCTTGCCATAGCAGCTGGCTCTCTGCATTCCTGGTCTGCTCTTACATTCCCCTTTAGTCCTCATAGACTTTAATTCCCAGAGAAACACTTGGTGGGGGAATGCCCTTTTCTACGACCTATTTCCTTAAGCCTTGATTCATAATTCCAGTTCCTAAGGTCTTGTGTTTGATAATCACAATGGATGGAGGCTCACCTTGGATTAGATGGAAGTCTTTTAGAAGTTGATTTCATGGAATCCCAATATTTCTTAGTTTGAAGGATTTTGAGAATCATTTAGTTCATTTTTCTCACTTTCCAGAAAAAGAAACTGAGGTCCACCAATCAGATGACTTGTTTAAATCACACAGCTACTGATGGACAGTCAGAACTAAAGCCTGGTCTTTGATTACCAGTTCTCTGTTTTCCCCTGAGGTCTACTGCAGAATGGAACATGGGCTATTTGAGAGGAGGGAGTCAAGTCTCCCCCATCCAGCTTGTTTCTCTGCTGTGCTTTCCCCTTCAAAAACATTTCCCAGACCCCATATGTAAACACTTACTTCTCAGAGTCTTTGCCATCACGGAGCTCCTCTTATCTCAGACAATTCAGAGAATGCAGAGGAGAAGCTGTTGGACTACTGTGTACAGGTTGCAGGTTTGAGTATAAAGATAGGTTTCTCTAAGTTCTGGGACACTTAAGATGTCCCCATTTTCATTAAGAAGCTTCATAAATTCGCCCAAATGATGACTTTGGCCTCCCTATCTGATATTTAGAATGTCCTATCAATTCTAGAGTGCTTCCTGTTCTCGCTTTATCGCACTTCTCCCCACCAGGAAATTTGGGCTTTCAGATGATGCCCAGCTCTTCATAACCTTTAAATGGAGGGATCCTACTCACCATAGTAAATGCCAAAAAGAGTTGCAGCCCCCACAAAGGCTCCCAAAAACTGGGCTCCCACATAAAACGGGAATTTAGACCATTTCATCCTTCCAAAGACACACATTGCGAAAGATACAGCTGGGTTAATGTGGCCACCTGCAAGGAAGAGAAGATGATTGGCATGTCAGAAAGCAAGCCTGGAGGGGAAATTTTATAAGAAAATCATGTCCAGAGACCTCAGGAAGAATTCAAACTTCTAGAAGAATTCAAACAAATGTATGTGTAGAGAAAGAGGTGTGTGTGTGTGTGTGTGTGAGATTGAGTGTGTGTGTATGTGTGTGTGTGTGTGCACGTGTAAGAGAGACACGGAAAGAGACAGGGAGTTTGGGAGAAAGGAAGAGAAGACTAACAATCCTCATGGTATCATTAGGAATGTTCATTTTCATGAAAAGGCAGTCAGAAATAGAAACCCTGTTTTCACATTCTTTATTTTTATGGGGTTTTATCTATTGGAAAAGCAATAACTCTAAATAGATTGATAAAAAATATTAACATCAATATATGTCTTAAAGTCAATATACTTAACACAATATATATATTTAAATTTATACCTAGCCCTTCCTTAGTCCATTCCCAGGGGCTATAAAACCAATCACAATGCAAGGCACTTAGCCCTGAAAAGTGCTCTAAGGGGAAGTGTCCCTAGGTTGATAGTTGTGACTCTCCTTGAGGTTTGGGACTTCCTTTATTTTTAGGTGATTATATTGCCTGGGTGGGTTTTCCTTTGTTTTTCTGCATAAACAATGCATTTCTCTCACACAGAAATGTCGCAATACTTATGTCACCTAACCCAAATTATAGTTGATGAAATCAGCTTCCTTGCTTTCATCTATTCACAAAATCAAATAGAAGGTTTGCTCTTGGAAGGTCACTAATGTTCCCCACTGGTTTTTCTAGGAACAATGGCATTTATTGAACATTTGCCAGATACTATCTTGGGGGTATTATGTGCATTGGAACCTCTTAAGAACCCAATGAGATGGGTACTATTCCAGTTAACAGGTGAGGAAACTGAAGCCCAGAAGTAAAGTAACTGTCTTAGGCTATGTGATCAGTAAATGGTAGAGTCAGGATTCATATCCAGCTTTATCCAAACTTCAGAGCCAATGTTCTATGTTACACCACTCTAAGTTCCTCTTCACCATAGTTATAAAGTGGTGGTCAGAACAAAATAAAGAATTTTAATAATCATTTTTGAGCAAGTAGGCTCACTTTCCAGGAAAGAAAGATGTTCTCCTGAGGAACACAGATAGCATTTTGTGTGGAGGAAAGATAGTCACTGTCAAGGTGACCGCATTGGAATGTGGACTTTCAGGTTGCAGATATAGGCGTGAACAAGAGAGATGATAACCACCATGGTGGTAACTAGGATGATGACGCTAGTCCTGCACTGTTTGGCTTTCCTCAGAAACATGGGAGGGCTGGCTGACTAACACCCTCCCACCACAGAGTCTGCCATGCTTCTCCTGAGTCTTCAAGACCAAGTGGGCTTGTAGGAGTATTCTGACTGCGGGCTCAACCACAGGGGTCCTTTCTCCACTTGCCTCCGCAACTCAGGGACCCATATGGGCATAAAAATGCCAAGATATCAAAGCAAAGATTACCCGGAAACCTTACAAACACTTCAATGGTTGTGTTTTACTTTTAAATCCAAGGGAGCCACCATTCTGGAGATGACAGAGGACTACTTACTAGGAAGACAGGAAACATGGGCATGCAGGGCAGTCGCCAAAGCCAGCCCTACTCCTCTTCTCCCACAGGCTGTGTGGAGAGCAGCTGCCACTCAGCCAACCTGGAGGGACCCATTGAAAAAGGACAATGGGGTTCTATGAAATAACCTTGAACCCCCCCCACAAAAAATGCTTCCCTCCAGATCAATCCACCAATGGGAGACTTCTTGAATGAGGTCCTCTTCCAAACAAAATTCCCCATAGGTAGGTTCACACTTTTTAGCCCCTCACAGTCATCCTGAGGTTGGAACCATTATTCACCTTGAAACTCTCACAATGCAAGACACTTAGCAGGTATTCGAGATAAGATAGCAAGTATTCAATCAGAAGCATTAATTAGATAACTTAGACTACAAAGATCTCCAAAGAGGGAAAGTTGTCTGGGGGCTGGAGATGGTGTGTCTGGGTGGATACTTTACAAAGCAGTGAGGAAAAGGGTTCCAGAGGCAGTAGAAGGGTTCAGAAAGGGAGGGAACCAATGGCACCCTGCCCCCTTTGGCTGGGGTCCCAGTGGATAATTAAAATTTCTCCCTGCAGAGCTGAATGCTCACTCCTGGCTCATCACAAGGATGAGGCAGGGCAGTGTAGTGCAAAGAACATGAGCAGTAGAGTCAGAGAGTCCTGCAGTCATATACTGGCTCTGCCAAAGTTGTTGTGATGATCAGATTATTCATAAGGAGCCCAGGGGTGTGACTGGCGCTCATGAAGCACAAAATGAAAGTCTTGGGTGAGCAGAGTGAACTTTCAAGTTTCTCTTTTAAGTTGATACCCTCACCCCATACCCTTAGACAATTCTGTGAAAGAAATACCTGTATTTCATTTATCATTAAACTTGGCTATTTTGCCAATTTATCTTACTTATAAAATTATCTCAAAAATTGCCATCAGGCAGCCTAAATACCTTGTGTGGGGTGCTACAACATTAGGGAGTTCTCAGTTCTGATTGGTTGGTTTTTATTGGCACGTCCATGAGGGGGCCAGATGCTGTAACTTCTTTATAGAAAGAGGATATTTTGTATTTAAAAGCCAATGTCAGCTGGCCTCACCAATCTGTGACCACAAAATGGAATCACATTTATACTTATGTTCAGTATATGCTGGTTATTTTTGGAATCCTCAAAGAGGGCCTACATGTGGCCACAAACCAACATGTTAGCCACAGCCATCATGAGATAGTCACCTCCCACTTTTCTTTTCCTATTCTTGCAGCTGCTAAAGCCAATGCTGATGCTATTGTCTGTATGGATATCATGGTGTGTCCCTGATTCTGTTTGTCTCTAAGGCACCAGTCATCGGGGAACCTGAACCACGCTAGATTTCAAACAAAGATGGGGCTATAGGGGATATATTTTTCATCAGCCAGGCTCAGACCCTGCTCTAATTATATTTTGGGGTCTCAACTTCTCTCATAAACAATGTAGTCAGGTCCTGGGCCTCCCTTGAGAACAATCTTTAGTGAAAGCAGTACCATCAGTTCTGGCCCTCACCCCTCTACCCACAAAGCTTAACTCCAGTGCAGGGGCCAGAGGAGAAGTTTCCATGCCATCCCCTCACTCTATCTACCTTCCTGTTGGTCCCTGTTGGTCCTTTCCCCTCCTATGGTGACTCCCATATTCTCCAATTATAACAATAGATGCAGACAGATTAGTGCTTAATAGTGACAATGAAGTGTATTGACTACATAGGCAGTGTCTGGGTCTAATACTACTACTTGAAAATGTGCAGTTCAGGGTATTATGCAAGCAAAATATTCCAACCCTTGTCCACCTAAAAGATTTCTGAAAATATGCCCACATCTAAATGGTTTTCAGAAATCATTTATGTGAATATACTGTGAGCTTGTGGGGAATAGAATAGAGCATGCTTATTTTAAGCTAAGAGTGTTTTTGTTGGTACCAAGACCTGCACTCTAATCCAGCCTAGATAATTCAATGAAGTCCCATGATTGTTCTTGTGCCCCACTTAAAGTTTGCTTTGAGGTAGGTATTATGGTTCTGGGATCACAGCAAAAGCTCAACAGGAACTCGAATGAAGACACTGCGCATGACAAAAAAAAAAAAAAAAATCACACACACAGGAAGCTATCACTGGACACCCCAGGATCTAAGCCTGGCTATAACATGGAAATAGTGCCTGCTAATAAATGACCATTTCAGGGACCTTGTCCCAGGAGCTCCAGGAGTCTAGACAATCATTCATTCTTAAGCACTCCAATGGCAGCATTTTTTACAAGGTCAGCCAGCATAACCGCAGGGTCCTCTGTCAGGCTCCTTTTGCTCATTTTAGACCATTGAAAATGTTATGTAAGAATATGAACTTCACTATCACCTGTACCTGGATCACATCTTTGTTCTGTCTTTGCCCCTATAGGCTGTCTAGCATATTATTGAATTTCTCTGAGCCTCAATTTTCTCTCTAGGGTGAAGACAATAATACCCAACTCCAAGTGTAGTTGTAAAAGAGAAAGGAGATTAGGAAGGCTTGGCACCCAGCACAGTGCTCAGTATGCAGTGATTTCTCAGTTCCCTTTCTTCTCTTATCACCAGGAGTCTTGCCTCTTTGCCCAGTACCCACACCAGGCTGCAGAAAGATAGAGTACCTTCCAGATTCGCTTCTTAAGTTCTCAACTGAGTTAAATATCATTCTTTCATTTTGCTTCTCAGAACCTCCCAAATGGTTTCTAATCAGCCTACCTCTTAGGGCAGAATTAGATGAAGATTTGCACCATCCATTTTGCAAGAGACCTAGACTCTCTGATTGCTTTTGATAAAGGTTCAGGGATTTGCCTCTGTTGGTGTGATCTTAATGGAGCTATTCATAGGTTTCTAAGTATAGGATAGAGCAAATAAAAGACACTTGCTGCTGAAGAATATGATGCAGTAACCAGACTTAGGAGTGAATCAGTTGTGAATCCTGACTCTGTCTCTTGTTAAATGTTGTCTTTGCATAAGTCATTCAACATTTATTGGCCATTTTATCACCTACAAAAATGGGATTAAATACACATTCTTATAGGATTGTTGAAATAAAAATAAACTAAGATATGTGAAGCACCCACCACTGTGCTGGTACACTGGAATGGTTGATCTAATGGTGTCTTTCATTATTTCTACTGCTTACCAGAGACGCCCCCGGTTACATAAATGGCCATTACAACTGCCATTGCAAATCCAACATTGGTAGTGACGACTCCTCCAAAATGTCCTCTACTGAGGATAGCTTGGGCAACAGAGCCACATCCAAGAACCTGAAAGAAGAAGAGAGGAAGATTAATCAGTAAATGGGGATGGCCATGGTCAAAAGCAACTGAAACTCATAGTAACAAGACTTTTGTCAGCAAACTCATGGGCTGCCTCAGGCTTCATCCAAATCAAATCAATGTTCCAGCTACTATGCACAAATAGCAAAATGATGGCTCCAGCCTGCTTCTAGCTTACAGATAGATTTTTCTGGTATGTGCAATGTGAAAGTTTTGCCTGCATTTAGAAATCAGGCAATTTCACACAATGATCTAGGTTTCAGTCTTTTTAAAATTGAATTTTTATTTTGAGAAGATTTTAGATTCACATGAGATTGTAAGAAAGAAAAGAGAAACATCACATGTACCTCTGTGGGGAGCCACTTCAAATGCATGCACCTTTAAGTCCTGATGCACCCTGGGGATCTGAGAGATCCTGTGGTAGTGCCATGACTCGTGACGCAGTCTTTTCCCTCGATGGGATAACAAGGCTAACAAGGCCTAGGAGTAGGCGGCACCCATAGTGGTTGAAGTACACTCACCTGTTCCCTTGTAATCCTATCCCTTGCCTCATTTGAATGGCTTCTTCCCAGTAAAAGGGTTCAGCACGTACTTCTCTCTCTTTCCATAGACCCCTAAGGCTGGAGGAGCCATCACAGGAACCAAAGAAAAAGGTATTTCTCTGTCTCTGTGTGGTTATTTCGTGCATTCCGGTTCACCTGGAGTGACCTTGAGTGTTTAGTTGTGGAACGTGACATATCTCTTAACCTTTGGTTTCTTTTAATTAATCAGAAGATCCAGTAGCTCCTGGGAAAATAATCTTCTGGAGCAGAGTAACTATTGGTTGCTCCCTTTAAATAGAACTTGGACCTTCCTAACTGGCTCACCCCATCTCAATTTACTTCACTTCACTCATTTAGGTGGGCTTCCTGGCCCTTGTAGGTATTTGAGTTTGAGACCCCTGCTCTAGTGGCTCCCATTATAAGCTGGATCAGGCACACAATCATATACGAATCAATACATGGGATGGGCATTTGTAGGATGAATTAGAAAGACTAATATGCAGGCAAACTGTAGGGGATAGATTTTTTTAAATATTTATTTTTTAGTTGTAATTGAACACAATATCTTTTATTTATTTATTTATTTCATTTATTTATTTATGTTTATGTGGTGCTGAGGTTTGAACCCAGGGCCTCGCATGTGCGAGGCGAGCGCTATACCGCTGAGCCACAAAAACCAGCCCAGGGGATAGATTTTGTAACTAGGCCCTCCTTATCTCTATGTCTTTTCCCCTAATGAATCTACAGTGTCCTGGAGAGCTGAGGCTGCCAAACTCACTGCATCTTCTATTCACTATGGAATCAACACAGTGCTGTGCTCACAGCAAGCTCTCTGCAAACAGCTGAACAATGAAGTATGGCAGAGAGTCTTCCACAATCTTCAGCTGGTAGAACATATTTTGGAGAATGGAATCAGTATTCATTAAAGTTTGAAATATTTACCTTTGATACATCCATTCAGCAGACTATGAGACAGCCATAAAAGAGAGTGAGGAAGAGCTGAATGAACCACAATGCAAAGATCCCAAGGGTATATTATTAAAGCTTTTTCTTCTTTGTTTTTTTCTTTTAGAAGATGCTGCTAATTGTATTAAAATACATGGTATGCATTCATTTCTATAAAAAATGGACTCTCCATGAATACACAAACACCAGGAATGGGGTTGGATGTCATTGGTGAGGTGAAGGAGAATTATATGGTTGTGTACTGAAAGAACACTTTTCATTGTGCACCCCTCTTTTTTTAACCACATATTTCCTAATATTTTAAAAAATGGGTTCTGCACATTCGTTAGATAATTGGCTAAGGCTGTTTAATCATAGTTCATTAAAGAAACAGTGAAGGAGGGTTCTTGTGAAACATGGGATGATTGCATACAAGTTTGATAATGAAAAAAATGATAGCAAATGGCCATCAGCTGTCTTCACATTGCAGTGTATAAAGCTTCATGGTCCTGGAGATAAAAGTTTTGGTCTGTAGGAATAATTAGATGAGTTATTTTTATATGTCAAATTGACCAAACTTTTTCTAAAATATGAAAAATATTTAAGTTTGGACTTCATAACCAAAGAAAAATTGCAGTAGTCTCCATTTTCTGCTTAAAACTGTGCATAATACCAAACTAGATAAATAGATACACACACATATATACATATGATATATATTCATGTATATATGAATTTTGTTCTATACATGCATAGCTACTATAATTTTGATCTTAAATTTCCCCAAATACCCATGTATTAAATGCTTAATTTCCAGGATAGTGCTATTGTGAAGTTGCGAAACTTTAAAAGATGGGGTCTGGTAAGAGGCCTTAGGTCATTAGGGGAATTTCGAGATCTTAGTCCCTTCCTCTCTTTGCTCCTTGGCCATGAGGTGAGTGGTTTTCTTCTACCACGTGCCCCCATTGTGATGTTCTACTTTGCTATAGGCCCAAAACAATGATGTCAATTGATCATGAACTGAAACCTACAAAACTGTGACCCTAAATAAACATTATCCCCTTTATAAATTGATTTATCTCCGGTATTTATTTTATTCACAGAAAATCAACTAACATAATACTTATGATAAAATTTAATTTATAAATTTGGCATAGTAAAATATTCACAACAATAACTAATAATACAATTATAATATTTTAACAGTATACTTATAACAAAAGCTATATGAAAGTAGCCTCTCTCTCTCTCTCTCTCTCTCTCTCTCTCTCTATATATATATATATATATATATATTAGTAATATATATATATTAGTACATATATATATAGAATAGTGCAGTAATATATATATATATATATATTATATATATATATATATATATATTATATATATATATATATTACTGCACTATTCTTACCCTTCTTCTGTTGTTTACAAGTAGCAAACTGTGGAAAGCCAAACTGTGGATAAAGGGAGACAATTGTAACTTGAAGGAGTGTTCAATATCAAGCAAGAAGTAGAAGACATTAGGTAAAGTTTCATAAACAAATGTATTTTAGGAAAAACAAGATTAAGAATGTGAAGACTGCTTATCAGGCAAATAATAACCAGGCATGGTGTCTCTTCACCAAGGGATGAAAACAGAAGAGTCCCAAAGTGAAGTATGAAAAGTTGTACACAATTTTCTGATAGACATTAATTGATTCTAAATCACTCTCATGGGGGCTCATTTGTGAGGTCCTTCATAGCAACGGAATTTATAAACAGATATTAAGAGATATTTAATACACATAGCATGATTTCCATTTACTCCTCTAGGAAAGCAGAGGATAGATGGCACATGGATGATCTTTGGATGTCTGGTGTGTTCCAGTGCTAAGCCACATCCACCTTGTATGTCTAACTGCAGGCAGTAGGGAGAGGGAGGAGAGCTTGGCCTCAGAGAGAAGCCTTTGTTCTGCACCTTACACGCACATTGCAGACTCAGACTTCACTCAGTCTTGGCTCCACACCCTGGTACTGAACATTAGATGAAGTTGCAGCAGCAACATGTTGTCATTCCCTTTGCAAAAAATCCCGAGTCCATTTCATAGCCTACCAATTTCACATAGATCTGACATATTTTTTCCCTATAATCCCTATCTATTATAACAACTGTCAGAATTAAACCCAGATTGGCTTTTCATTTAAAGCCAATTAAATGTTCTGGGCACAACTTCCAAACTGACTAGCATTTTAATAGTATTTACAGAAAAGAGGAATAAAATAGTACTGACAGCTGAGATGACCCGTCTAGACAACCAGGGCTGAGAGGAGACACACCCAGAGCCGTCACTGCTTTCCAAATGAGCGCCTTCCCTTTTTCATGGCTCTGAGGCACACATACTTGTGCTAGTCTAGAGGGAATATAAAAGCTTTAAATAGCTCAAGTGGACCTGGGAGGACCTCTGCCTGTTAAATTTCACTATGATTAATGTTCTCCTCTTTCACCCTACATGATGAAATTGCTTTTTCTAGAGAAGATAATCAATGTTGTGGGCTGAAGGAAAGGAACAGGAGTAGAGATGAACAACGTGGGGGCTTCAGTTATCCTCATGAGAATAACCACTCAGAAGATTGCAGCCTAGATTTGTAGCATTGGGTCTTAATTTTAAAATATATTTATTGTAGATTGAAAAGCAACAGAGAAGATAGGTACTGCCTAAAAGTGTCTTCCCCTGCCTGCTTCCTGTATTTCTATGCTTGTATTCCTGGCACCATGCAAAAAGATCTTGGATATTCTAGTGTATCATGGTCTGATTGTGGAGAAATGGCTGCCCATTCTGTTTGCCTTCTTTTGTGTGTTCAGTGTATTTTTTTCCCCTCCAAAATTGAAAAAAACTATCCTGCATGGTATTGCGGATAAAATTTTTCAACATGCTTTTCTGCTCTAACTTTAAGAAGTACCACAGCTTTATACTTCATAAGCTTCATATAGAAAGAGACTGTTAGCAGTCTGTCCTGTCTACTTTTCAGGTCTATCCTTCAGGAAAGCTTATCATCCATTCATATTCTTTTCACCAAATATGACCTCTCCTTTCTGAAATTCAATTACACTTTTTACTCTATGCAGTCAGTACCTAGTTTTTTTCAAAGTGCCTGATCTGGTTTCCTAGCTAGAAAACAGTAATTAAAGTTTCCTTCTATACCAACAGTCAATAATATGCTAGTAGTCTCTGTTCATTGGGTCTTGTTTCCTGAGTCTACAAAACAACTCCTTCTATCACATAGACCCCAAAGGTCTCTTCTACCTTCCTGACCTGCTTAATCTAGTTGTCTTCTCCAAAAGAGTTTGAAGAACCTCAAAACCATGCATAAAATGGTGAACATGACCAAGACACAGATCTAGTTTTCATGGTGTCCCCAAAACTCCTCACCCATCTTTTACTCATATTATCCAAATAGACTCATCAAGACTTCTCTTTTCTCATCAACCCAACCTACCTAATTGCGTTTCTG